CCCCCTTTTTGGGATACTTTTGGGGGACTTTTGGTTAAACATGTAAGTTACGAGGTTTTAGCATGGACGTAAAATACTTCTATGATTTTAGTTAGAATTATGTTTCCCAGTGATAATTATATTGAATAGAAACCATTTATATCTTAATGATTTAGATGGAGCTCCTTTCTAACCAGAAAGTTAACACATATATATTGTAATATGCTATTCGCTCAGTTTGTATACACCCGTTTACAAGACGTATTATGGTATACCGCTGTCCTTCAGTCCGTCCGTCCGTCCGTTGTCAACATGTCGGACAATAACAATCTGCATCAAACTTTGGTAAATTGTAAATATCTGTGTCGACGTGAGCTCTCTTTCGATTTTTATAAATTTTAGAATTTACGTTTTCAAGTTAAAGGGGTTTTATCCATTTAAAAGGGGTATTTCCCAGTTTTCGGACAATTACTGTAAAATGCTTCGAGCATTTTTCACGAAACTTTGGTGAAGTGTTTATATCTATTGAAGTATGCTCCCGTTCAATTTTCATAAATTTTACCGTTCACGCTTCCGAGTTGTGGGATTTTATTCATAAAAAGGGGGGATTTTTCAGTTTTCGGACAACAACTCAAAATTGCTTAGTGCAGATTCATGAAACTTTGATGGCTGGTTTGTATCTGTTAATATAACATCCCTTAATGGTTTTTGATAAATTAATAATATGACATTTAGGAGGACTGGAACTTAAAATGCTACGGGCGTATCACGCGCTATTGGCGCAGCTCTTTATTCACATACATGTATTGTTTACTGCCTTTTAATAAGATGGGTATGGTCAACTCTTATTATACAAGGAATACTATTTCATCATGATGAACCTGATTTTAAATTGAAACAATTTAGCATTTTACACACTAATGATTTAGTTTTTTCTAGCATTAAAAGTTAGCGTATTTAAATCACCAACTACTGTACTGTTACGAATAGCAAATTTTCTTTTCAGGTGCATTTATCATTTTTACCAGTTGGACATACACACGAAGATGTGGATGCTGCTTTTAGTCGAATAGCTGAAACTCTTCGTAGGAATGATGCTGAAACTATGCCTCGTCTAAAGGAGATGCTTCCGAACGTTAAGGATGTTGAAGCCATTTATGACATTCGTTCATGGATAACATCAAGCCTTAACGACATTCGAAAGCATACTAAACCTTTGCATTATAAGTTTATCCGGAATTTAGCAACAAATAATGTGAAAATGCAATACAAAGCTTTCCAAGACAGCGAATGGAAAACAGAACATGGCATTATTCAACTCATTTCTGGAAGACCAAATTTACCAAAGGGAATACCGAAAGTTATCAATCCTCAGTTTGAGAAGATAGACGTAAATAAAATAAAATCTAGAATACCACAGTGGCAATGTCTTTTCACTGATCAAATAGAACATACGGAGAAACAGTGGTGGGGCGGATTTCTTGCTCATCTAGAAAAAATTAGAGACAGCTTGCCCTACAGAAGGACAAAAGTTTTATCAAAGGCAAAATGGATTCTTCCGTTGTTACCCAAACAACAATTGAAAAAACAAGGGCCCTCGGTTGATCAAGACATTCCAGCAGAATTAAGGAGATTATTGGAAAATGAGCGAGAGGAGTGTTCTGTAAGTCTGTCTAGTTCTTATTTATGGAAGGTTCCACATTTTTCTTTTAACATATTAATTAATTTAATCTCCAGTTTCATTGTATAAAAATAAAAAAATAAAAAAAAAGGCAGGCCATCACAATATAAATAATGCTTTCAGTCGAAGTGATAAATTTGTCCGTATATTTTGCTTTCCATAGGACACACAAACACTATATATACGTCACGAAATAAAAATCGAAGGAACAGCGCTCTCATTGTTGTTCATCTGAAAATGACAGTGACCCTTCAACATGGAGCAAAATTTTAAAAAAAACATTCATCTCGCTCCAACTTCAGAACAACTCATATACATTATAACATTTGTTTCTGAGGAAATCATTGCAATATTAAGAGGTCGATCACGCTACACAATGTGACATGGGTGTTTTTTCTCGCTCCCGTCTTCTGTATTATGTTTACTCAAAGATCACTTATTTAAAAATCTGCGTTCGATGTTATTTAGAAACGTGACCTGTTCAAACCTGTTTAACTTTGGCTACATGAACTCTTACATTTCAGGTGCAAGTACAGCCAAAACAACAAAAAAGGAAACCAAAAGGAAACAGAAAAGAATCAGAAGGTATTATGTTATTTGTATTTTATTTTATCATTTGAGAAATTTTAATGTATATTGGAAGGTAGGAATGTCCTTTACCGTCAGTCGTCATACGGACATTTCCGGCTACCGTTAGCGTCAAATTGGTAAAAAGTTTAACTTGATTTGTCGGAGGTCTCAAATAACAAACGTTAACGTTATTTTTGGAAAATAAGGTAATGTGATTCGTCAAAATCAGTTGATTTTTTTTATCGTCTGAAAGAAAGTGTACATTTTATCGTCATGCACCAAAAATTATTGTTTACGACATTTGGCAAGAATTTTTACCGTGATTCGTCATGAAGGTACCGCCATTACGACCCTCATATTGATATCTTCAAGTTAAAGAAAAAAAGGATGAATATGCATTAAGCAAAATTATGTTAATATATCGTTTCTTCTATTACAGAGAAAACATGCCAAGGAAAGAAAAGGAAGAAGAATATAATAAAAGAAATTACCAGAAAAATTTACTCTTCATATATTTATTTTATTGAAACTAAAATTTATTACCAAAAACATAGATTATACTTAGCGATATATTTTCTTTTAGAATCTTTGTTCATGTATTTTTTGATAGACGAATATTTGTATTTAGTGCTGGTTTTTTACCTCAAAATATTTCTAAGTATTTGGGAAAGAATTGTTACATCACATATCTATCCTTCTATTTCAAACCAACTTATATATTATTCAGACAGTTGTCAGTTGTAATTACAAGCTCCGAACACATTTGAAATGTTTCATTAACATGATTAATAAAATCCAAAGTTGTTTTATTCTCCAAAAATATCTTAGTAGTTACTTATTGATAACATATAAGAGACTCAGATTGATTGGAAGGACATTAAATCCCAGTTGTTTCTTTTTGTCATCTTTGTTTTGCTTTTTTATTATCTGCCTTTTATTCGTTGTGATATTGATGATTTTCTTTTAATAACAAGAGTCAATACAAAGAACTCATTTAAGAAAGAAACTACATGATCATTTTCCTTTTTTGGTTTAAGGACCAGTTTATGAGTATCAAAAATACTAATGGGTTTTTATTGTTTGGTTGTTTTTTTTTCAATGAATAAGAAAATACATGAATATTTGGTCTAAAGACCAGAATGATATATATGTATAACGTTTGGGCAACTTTCTTTTTGGTCGAAAGACCAGAATATTTCTTCAATACATTTGCGGACTAACGTTTTGCTATTTATTAAGATTTTGTTGATGGGTGTTAATTTTTTTTAATGTCACTTATCCAGTTTTGGTCTTACGACCAGATTAAAAATGTTATGCTATGTGTGTATGTTTAAAATGGTCTTTGGGCCAGTTTAATGAAGGAGACATTTCATACTAAATTTACAAGATATTGTAAAAGATGTACAAGTTCCATAGCCAATATGAAAAATTTAACACTTCAGATGGTAATAAAGTATTAAAGAAGCATTTAATGCATTAAATCGATCATAAATTGGTCTAAAACCCATAGTTTCGTAGCAGGAAATTATAAAAATACGTTTAAAAAAGCATTGTTAAACCGTTCGAACTATAGTGTAATGGAGTGGTAAACAAAGGTAAAAAAGGAAAAGAATGGATTTTCCCTTTTAGAAATGGAACTAGTTATATGCTTTTATTAAAGCAAAGGAAAGAGGAAAAAGAGAGAAAGGCTTTGAAAAAGCAGAAAGAAGTTCAAACTTTGACTATGGAAATTCAAAAATATGGAGGGTTGTGGTTAAATTTGAAAGATTTAAAGCAAAAAATGTAATAGAAGTGAAGATAAATCAGAAGCTGTTAAAACACAAATTAAATTTCACAAAAACGTTTTAAAAACAAACACTGATGACAAAACATTGTTCCAGTTTTCTACAAATAATATAGTTTAATTTTGAAGAACTATTATCTCATTTAAAGATATTAATTAAATTTTCAAGTCATTCAAAAGAGAAGGAGAATGAAGAAGATTTTTCAAATGATAATGAACATTTTAGAATAAAATCTCCAAGTGATAGATTTATTTTCATGGAAAAACAAAAGTAGAAAATTTTACAAAAAATCTGTCTTATAAAAAAAAAGAAAAGGAAAGATCAAAATGTAAATGTATCTTAAGAACCTGTTCCAAAAGAGGCACGAGGAAAGGAGTGTTCAGTAATAATTTTTGTTATTTCATGTAATAATACTATTATTAGTACTAATAATATCAAACAATTGATTATTTAAATGTTCTTTTGAATATATATTGGAACAGGTTTAGTTTAGAATATAATTTTCAACTCTTGTTTAGCATGTTAATTTTGCATGTAAAACAATAATGGTGATGAAAATAAGTGATCAATCTCTGAACTTGCCACAACCTGGACCAACATTTTATAGTTAAATGCATGGATTAGTTTATTATTCAGTAAATGATAAGTAAAGAATAGAAAAAAAACGAATAATGTTTCAAGAACCTAATTCAATTTTCTTTAAATTCAAGGGTCGGTCAGTTGAATGATTCACTAAATTGTTGCTTGTGTTTATAAGAGGTTATGGGAAATAACTAAATGCATGTTTATTAACTTAACATTTATGTATGTTTTGGATGGGGAGTTATCTAACTGGCAATCAAACTGCATCTTCTTATGTTTATATAAACATATATCATGATGAAAATAAAATAGAAAGAATTTCTTGTTAATAAAATCTTAAGCAAGTATTATAAATTAGTTTTTGATTTAAGCCACCCTCTTTTTGAGAATTGAATATAAAGAAATTAATATTCCTGAAAAATCATATCAGTATATACATGAACATAGCCCTTGGAAATCTCACAATGTTTTGGTTCAGTAGACAGCATGTTGAAGTACAGGATGTTATTGGTTATTAAAAAGAAATATCCACATTTAGATTTGAAAATTGATATTTGCTCTATCTTTAGTTAGATTTAGTTTGAATGTAACATTTAGTATTAAGAGCAAATGCTTTTTAGCTAGGCCAGTCAAAATATCTATTGGATAGGACTTGTGAATCAGCATATAATAAATCAGTTATTGAAACTTAGTACCACACCACATCATGACAACATGCTCTCTTTGAGATTATGTACAGTTTTTAAGCAACGGAAAATTTTAAAAGCTGTGTATTATCAATAAAATCAGTGAAGGTTCTTTATTGATAGCAGTAATGAAATATGCATCATTAGCAATGAAAAGATGGATTAAAGACCATTATTTTGATACCAAGATTGTCAAGAGTTATAAAAGAAAAGGTGTTTTTTTTCGGGGAAATTGACTAAGTGTCGGCCATCTTGATTCAAAACGGCCGCCATTTTCCCTGTCAAACATATATATTTATCATGATCATGCCTACTGACATTTCACAATGTTGAATTTCAAATTTCATCCTAAAACATTGCACAGTTTAAGAGATATGATCATTTTGGTTTGTTTTCTTGTCAATAAAAGCTGTTTTATGGTAATATGATGTCAAAATTTGTCAGAGGATCTGCACTGACAGATGGCAGGCATCAGGTGTTATAAATATAAAACATTAATGCCTGCATAAAGAATTTCCCCCTTAAACTTGACTCCATAAAAATACACCTATCCAAGGAAAATCTAAGGAGACTGCAGCTATCAAGGTTGCAGGAGCTGTCAGCTGAGAAGGGCGACTCACTTGAAATAATCCAGAGGTAATTATTTCAGAATTGATAATTGTATACTTAATCCATCAGGCCTGATCAACATGGAATTTCAATACTATATTTGGAAGAAGAAGAGGATAAAATATATAAGAAGATGTGGTATGAGTGCCAATGAGACAACTTTCCATCCAAGTCGGAATTTGTATAAGTAAACCATAATAGGTCAAAGTACGGTCTTCAAAACGGAGTCTTGGCTCACATTGTGTTTTATGGTTTACAGTAAATGATAAACTATTGATTAATAAAAAACTATTTGGGGTTGTGTATATCCCCCTCCTTGAGAATAGATCATACAGTGATGTTTATATGTTTAGTGAAATTGAAAATGTTATTGTTGATCTGTTTGTTTGATGATTTAAATACACATTTCAATTATGTTAATGAATATGTTGTTATTGTTAATAATATAATTGATGTTTGCAATGTTCTCAATGCTGATTAAACTTTTCTCAATAATTTGCATATATTAGAAGAATGTGGAATTTCAGTTATAAAGAAAATCACACAAAAAATGTAAAGTTTACAAATATGGCAAATGTCTAGTATAACTATGTAGAAGTTAATAACTTTTCTTTGCAAATGGTGGAGTGGGAAGCAATAGATGTATTGTTCATTCAACATGTAATAATTCAGTTCAAATTTTTTTGCAAACATTGGTGTAAGGCAGGGTAAATATTGTCGCCTCTCTTATTTTCCTCAATGATCTCACCGAGTTTATGTCACCTGCTTACAGTGGTTTAAATGATGTTTGTCAAATCTATTAATTGATAACGATGGTATTGAAGTTTATTTCAAATTGTATTTGTTATTATATGCTGATGACACTGTCATCTTTGCTGAATTGCAATGTATTTATATTGTGAAACATGGAAAGTTAAAGTAAATACAGCAAAAACTATCATTGTTACATTAAATTACCTTTAGTTTCTGAAATTCTAAGAACAGAGTTTAAAATCAAATGTTCTAGAGTTTGTTAATGCAGTGAATAGACGTTTGCGCATAAAAAAACTCTGAACAATCACTAACGCTGCGTCTTTAAACCAGGTGATGAAAGTAGCTGTCAATTTGAAACTACAACATGCCTATAGTCTTTGATGTTACGGGTGGAGATGGTTTTCTTTATAGGTAATATCGAGGGGTTAATGCCAAAACCACGTATGTGAATATTTCAACATTTTGGGAAATCAAAAAAACATAAATTTTCAATTATCCTTTGAATAAAATGCTTGAAATTTTATAGTTATGTAAAATAAAGAATAGTTAATAAAATTTCATCTCCCCTCTAGTGGTAATTATTATTTTATGGATAATTTAATTGATTTACACTATAAATTTTGCTTGCACAATGTATTTGTTTTGATTAATACCAGATGTCAATGCCATTACAGAGTACTAAGGTGTAACACTTTCTGCTGATAAATTTATTGATATATTAAACAGATGTTTGCAAGCGTAAACATACTACAGTAAGATAATTTGTTTTGGCAGTTCAAAACTATTAATATAATAATAGTTGTGTCGTACAATTGTGTAGTACGTGAAGATAATTGACCATAGCATTACAAAAACAATATATGTATTTATAGTGAAAAATGGATAAGCAAATTATAGAAATATAAGACTTTCTGCAAAGTAATATTTTTTTAAAAGAAATAAAAATAAAAATGACTACAAAATGCATGAAAAGTTACTTTCATTTGGCATAAAAAAAAATGTCAAAATTCCTAGAAAAGTTAACATAAACTACATTGTTTTAAGTTTTATCTTTAAAATAGAAAGTTTAATAAAAAGAAAACAATCAATTCATAATCACAAGTTTTCAAATGATTGTTTCTTTATCAAATCCAAGTGTATGTATTCATGTTAGCTTACAAAAAGACATAATACATAAAAACACTGCTTAATAACAATGAATTATGCTTGACATATGAAAAACATAACTATTAAACACTTATTACTTTTAACATGTTTAAGTTTAGTATAATTACATTTAAAATGTTCAACTTTGTTGTAAAATATCAGTATGTATCATGATTTCTTTTTTATTTTTACATTAAATGAAAATAACACTTTATTAATTTCGTGCGTCAAAATAATAATAATATGAATGATTTGTTTTAAAACATTTAATTCATGTTTACATTCACTGAAACAAATTATAATTATCTTAACAAGATGATAATGCTTAAAGCTTGCAGAAAACTTTATGCAAGTTAAAATCGGAAAATGTTTATCATAAATTTATAACTTTATAAAAATCATATCTTTAATTGATAAAATTACTTTATTTTAGAAAAGTGCTTGGCAACATACAGAAAAAGTCTTAGTTAAAATTTATTTGTACATAAATCGTAACCTAAATGCTAACTTAAAATCTTTTTAATATTATGTACTAATATCAGTTTCTGTTGTATAAAACTTTATTAAGAAGAGGGCAGCTGTCACTTTCATTCCTGTTCAGTATCAGATTTCTCTTCCTCTACATCTGTTTCAGCAAGTGTGTCTTCAATGTTGCTATTTGATGGCAGGGACTTGTGAAAGTCATGGTATTCACTTGGAATAATGCCCTTTTTACACAGACTGACTAAGTCCTTCTTCTTAGCAGCTGAAATTTGTTGTCTGGATGTATATTTTTTGGGAAGTACATTGTCCCCGGTTTGACGTCCCCTCTTACTAGTTGAACTGACTTTGAGAATTCTGAAGTCTTTATCGAAGTCATTTTTAAACTGAATACTATCAGGATATGCTTTCGTGTATCTGAGCCATTTGGTATTCAGCCAGTTAACTTTCTCCCCATTTACGTCATCTTTTCTGTATTTCATAGTTTTTTTTGTTAGCTTCTTAAAGTTGTAAATGTCTCCAAATTTTAATGGTACAACCATGTATGGGTCTTTCTTCCGTGCCATTCTTACCAATGTTGCCCATTGTTGTGGAACATATATTTCAGTCTTCTTTTTTGCAAACTCAATGGCGGAGTGCATGCTATCGCATTCCCTTTGGGTGTGTCCACTTTCCAAAAATTTGTGGTCAATAGTATCAATAGACGGATGGTTAGTAACTGCATATAATAAGCATGTAGCTGTAAATTGGTTTCGGTTTTGTCCCGAACAAGCATCAGAATAAAAAATAACATGCTTTGCACTGCTTGGCAAAGATAACAATTGAAGATATAGGCAAGTTGCTATCTCGCACGAGCCCCTTTGAGCATCTATCTCTGACCAAAGGTAACATGTGGCATTATTATTTGCTAGATTGTAAATAGACAAGTTGTAACAGCTAAGTTTTCGCATATAATATAGTTGGCTGACTAAACTGCATGGAGTCTGCAGAACTGCTTGCAGATCGAACGTAGCAACAAAAAGTTCTTTAGAATTCTTTGCCTTTTCTTTGTCTACTCTCTTTTCTTCTCTGGCTTTTTTCTTGGTGTTTACTGAATGCTTCTTTCAACTGAGGAGTAAGGGTATCATTTTCCCTGTCTTGATAGTAACTTACGCACAGTGCACACTGATCTTTTTTGGGCACACGGAATGAGAAGTTATACTCCTCGCTGAATATTTTTCTTTATACAGCCTGACTAAATATTTCCTTTTCAGGTAATTCTTCATTGTAATGTTCCAAGTATAGTTGATACGTTCTTGTAATGTTCAAGTCAGCTCCTAAATATTTTCGGTTTGAATCTTTACGGGTGTAGTGCCCCTCTACCACAGGGAACGATTCTATATGTTTTCATACCATTTCCAGTGCATTTTTTGGTGTTTTGTTATGTGGTTCATGTTTCCCACGCTTATCTTTGCCAACAAATACTCCACCCAACTGATTTTGTAGAGCATGCTCAGCAAATGACTTGCTAATGCCTAAAGTCGTCAAGAAGTTTTTTTTGCATACTGTAATCTGCTCTCCATCCAACTTAAAGGAATACGATCTATGAACATTTCTCTTTTTCTTCACAAGTTCATTTCCTTTATCAATATAGGTTCTTGTTTTCTTTTCATTTGTATGAGTTACAATGAAATCCTTTTTCCTTTCATTGTTTTCAAGAGACCAAAATGCCCCGAAAAATTTGAAGTCGTTGCTCATCCTTTACATTTAAACTACATTTAAATGTACAATTGGAACAGTCTTTGAGTTTCAACGTTTTCTCCTTGATGGTGTTGCCCTTCAGGGATATATACTCTTTGCCCGAAAGTCTGAGTTTTTTCCTGATATTTTTTTTCCATGTTTCTGGCATTGCTTTTCGCTTTTTGAATAATTTCTTCTTAGGTGGGGTAATGAAATTTGGAGCTTTCCTTGGTGGTGTTCCTTTTGGCCTTCCTCTTTTTCTTTTTGGCTTCTCTGGGGTACCATTCTGTACATGTGTATACAACACATCCGAGTTTTCACTCTGCTGATTGTTGTCAATTGTTGGGCCTTCTTCATTTGATATTTCTCTGTTGATGTTTTCTGTTATTTCACTTTCTTCATGACAAGAATTGCTCTGATTTAATTGGTTCGCATTACTTGGTTTGTTTGCTGTTCCCAATTTTACACAAGCATCATAATGCTCAGGTATTGTGTTATTGGTTGAGGCTAAATAAGCCAAAGTAATCGGTTCACATGAAGAATTTTTACTGTGTTTTACTGAATGAGTTATGTCTAAAATTGTCTGATTAGACAAACTTGAAAATATTTTGACGGTCTGTCCAGTCCAGTTTGCCAAGGCTAAAGGCAAAAGATCAGCAGCTGTGTTTGTCCAGCTACCATTTACAGAAAGCTCGTCAATCTCTGTACTAAAGTCGATCCACGAAATATCTTCATCAAACGATTCAGACAAATCAGACACCGCAAAGAATCCAACATACTCCTTAGCATTATCAATAATGTGGTCACATAAGGTTCTGCGTAAAGATTGAACTGAATAAGTATTTGGTATATGTGGAAGCGTTGACTGGAAAAAACAGTTTCCATCTGCAGATACAGGTTTTCGTTGCAAACCATTTACAAAAAGTAAATCGTATAACCTTTGTTCATGATGTACTATAGCTAGTTCATTGAACGTTGCCACCTGCTCACTGATTTCCATTACTCTGCGTAGATCTATGTCTTCAGAAGATACTGTTGTGTTGTCTTTTGTTGTTCCTATCTTCTCTTGATTGTTTGCATTTGAATTATTTGTTTCGTTCAATGAATTACCTTTACCAGTTAATTGATTTTCATTGGGTGTTAATGTTGGTTTCATCTTGTTTTTATCTGACTTTGAATTGATCTTTTTCGATTGCCTATCCTTCTGATTCTTCTTCCGTTTGGCTTTTGTCTCTGTTTTTTCTGACAATAACCTGTCCATGCGTTTAGCAGAATCATCTGTTGGTGTGGATAAATTTGAATCACTGGAGTAATAATCATGTTTTGTAGGTTTAAAGGAATCTCCACTCTCATAAACTGACTCATATTCACTCTCTATCTCTTCAGTTGCTCTTTTTTGGTCATGTTTTCGTTGAAACTGTTTCAGTGGTATATTGTCGTCACTTGATTCACTATCAATATGCCAATCCATAGAATGTGGTACGCATTGTTTTAATTTCTTTGCTTTCTTTCGTCGCCTTTTAGTTTTTCCTTGGTAATGCAAGCCTAAAGCGAAAGTTCCAGATTGTGTGGTTGTAGCTTCTTGTGATGTCATCGTTATTTCCATTGAAGAAGCTTCTTCAGTGACAGTTGATTCCCCTGTTGTATTTACAGCTGAATTAGCCATTGCAGTTTCTGTTGTTGTATCTAATGTAGTAGTAATTGCAACTTCTGTGTTAGCTGTCAACTCTTCGTTGGTAGGGGCAGCTGGTGTGGTGGTACCTGCAGTTTTCATTGCATTTGCCATTGAAGGCGCCTCTACCATGGTGATTGATTCCTCTGTCGTAAATGCAGCTGCAGACGAAATTTCTGCATCAGTAGTAATTGTCTCTTTGATAGTGCAGGATTCAGCTGTGGTATTAGTTCTCATCTCTGCAGTGACGGTGCTAGATTGTGTGGTGGTAGCTTCTGTAGTTATCATTGCACATGCTGTTGAAGTAGTGTCTGTAATAGTGTTTGCTAAATCTGTTATAGTTATAACTGACACAGTATCCATTTCCACTACTTTGGTGGATATATCTTGTGTAGTATCAATGTCATCTTGTGAAATGGTTTCTGCAGTTGTCATTGCAATAACCGCTTTGTTAGTTTTATTTTGTGCAGTAGTATTTGCAGTTTTTGTGTTATCTGTCGCCTCTTTAGAAATAGTGCTATTTTGTATTCTAGCAGCTTGTGCAGAAATCATTGCACTTGCTGATACAGTCGCTTCTTTAGTAGTCATTGTTGAATCTGTCATAAGTGTAACAGGCACATAAAAAGTTGTAGTATTTTCAGCATTAGTAGTTGCAGTTTCATTGGTATTTGTCGCACCTTCAGTTGTTATGGCAGCTAGCAAGATGATAGTATCTGCAGAATTCGTAGTACTTACTGTTGTAGTAGTATCTACAGTGGTGGTTTCTGTTATTGCTGTAATGGTAGCCTCACCAGGTATCATATTGGTATTTAGTTCCCTTGTTGTTATTTCATCTTCGGTTGATGGTGTCAATACTATAGTGGTAGTGGCCAAATGTGTATCGGTAGTTTCTGAAGTTCTTGATACGGCTCTGGTTTCTTCTACAGAGGAACCAGTATTAATTTCTGTATTTGCAGTTGCTAATAACACTAAGGATGTAGTTGTCCATTCATCATCAGATGACCAATTCAATTCAGACATGTCGAAAGTCTAAAATGAATTAAAAACAAATATTTTAAATAAACAAAATGAAATTTGCCAATACATACAAATATACTTAATTAAAATGCTGATAGAATGTATTTAATATCATAATTTTGTGTCTTTTTTATATTGTAAGAATTCAACATTTAATGATAACCAAATAGCTACCTGTATATACTGCCATTAATGTGTAAACATTGTCTAGATTAAAGTCTTTAAAAGTTTGTTATACCCTCCTGTGGCATATACATAGTTTTGTTTCTCCAACGAGATATTTTAACCTTTTACTTTTTTTTTATATATTTTGCAAGACGTTTGCACAAAACATTAAGATGTGCATGTGTGCAAGATGATTGTACATAAAACCATATTTATAATTCAGACAAGAGGTTTCTATTCACCCTGAAACGGTAAACAAATTATGTTTGGGGTAGGGTTTTTGGGTGCGTCATAATTTGAGCATTGCAGGCACAGATAAATATGGTCCTTATACCCTATACATGTATACTAAATATTACATAACAGTATATAAACTGCTGTGCTAAGGTTTGGGGAGCTTTATTCTAGATATTTTTTTACAGATAATACATTATCAAACTTACCTTTTGTCGGGTGTATTCCACTTTGTTTAATTATATTCATACATCCTTGTAGTTTGCTGAAAAAGAAATTGAAATTAAAAAGAAATTTATAACATTTAAATCTTTATTTTTGAACATTAATTTTTAGATTAAATGCAGATAACTTAATGGATTTTAATTTCTTTCACTTCATGATGTTTAAAAATATATAATCATGCAATACATGTTGTTCTTAATAATAATAACTGATAAAAGAAATTTAAAATATTTGAAACTAATAATTAATACATACATACCTTTTCTATGTTCCAATTTCAGATTTTCTATAACTCCTTTTTACAACTGTTTTCTGGATAACACACACACGCCGCAGCTAAAGAATTCTTTATAAAACTATCTGATAACCAGAAAATGTTAACTTTGTTTACTGTTTCCTGTCTCTACAGATCATAATTTATTTTAACATCTGCAACATATTATCTAAAGATGTGTGGTTATGGCTTACATAACCTAAATATAAATAAAATATTTTGCAGTGCCAAAACCAGGTATCTCTATATAATATATATTGGCATGAATTGTAGAATTAATTTAAATTCCCGTATGAAAGAAAAAAAAATATCTCCAGATAAGATGTTCTTGCTGATAAAATAACAATATACAAAAATCATAAAGTAATGAAAATTCAATTCAGCTGAATGTGTGACTATTTGGCAGTTGACTTTTTGTGGTATATTTGATAAAACTTTTTAGTTCTGGTCAATAAAAAATACAAACCTTATCGTATTGGTCTGATAATTACATATATGATTTATCGCATACTTATTTACATATTAGACACAAAAACTGAAATTTGAAAAATTTTCAGATACTACATTTTGGCAGTAACCCATCGATATACAGACCTGTAGTCTTAGATATTCCAGGTGGAGATGGTTTACTTTATAGGTAATATACATACCTATAGTCTTTGGTGTTACAGGTGGAGATGGTTTTCTTTGTAGGTAATATACATACATGTAGTATTTGGTGTTACAGGTGGAGATGGTTTTCTTTATAGGTAATATACATACCTGTAGTATTTGATGTTACATGTGGGAATGGTTTTCTTTATAGGTAATGTACAGCCCTTGGATGGTGTAAACTTCCCAAAAAAAAACGTGTATGGTGTAATGGTGTATGGCATATGGTGCAATGGTAGAAGGTGTATGGTGCTATGGTGTATGGTCTAAGGGTAATGGTGTAACGTGCGATCGGGAATGGTGTGAATGAATGGTGTACGACATTTAAAACTGCAAAATATTGGTAAGAACTGATTTTTAATTTTATACATTAATTTACAATATTGTGATCAAAATTCGTTTTTTAAAATAAATAAATAATTTTGTAGTCGCACGCTTTCTTTGAAATTAAATTGCATTATGGTGTTATGTGTAAGTTGTATGGCGCAAAGGTGTAACATGTATGGTGTAATGGCACAGGGTGTATGGTGTATGGTGAATGGTGTAATATTGTATGGTTTTAGTGGGATGTTTACACCATCCAAGGACTGAACATACCTGTATAATTTGGTGTTACATGTGGGAATGGTTTTCTTTATAGGTAATATAGATACCTGTAGTCTTTGGTGTTACAGGTGAAGATGGTTTTCTGTATAGGTAATATACATACCTTTAGTCTTTGGTGTTATATGTGGAGATGGTTCTCTTTATAGGTAATATACATACCGGTAGTCTTTGGTATTACAGTTGGAGATGGTTTTCTTTATAGGTAATATACATACCTTTGGTATTCCAGGTGGAGATGGTTTTCTTTATAGGTAATATACATACCTTTGGTGTTACAGGTGGAGATGGTTTTCTTTATAGGTAATATAAATACCTGTAGTCTTTGGTGTTCCAGGTGGAGATGGTTTTCGTATAGGTAATATACATACTTGTAGTCTTTGGTATTACAGGTGGAGATGGTTTTCTTTATAGGTAATATACATACCTGTAGTCTTTGGTGTTACAGGTGGAGATGGTTTTCTTTATAGGTAATATACATACCTGTAGTCTTTGGTGTTACAGGTGGAGATGGTTTTCTTTATAGGTAATATACATACCTTTGGTGTTACAGGTGGAGATGGTTTTCTTTATAGGTAATATACATACCTGTAGTCTTTGGTGTTACAGGTGGAGATGGTTTTCTTTATAGGTAATATACATATCTGTAGTCTTTTGTGTTACATGTGGAGATGGTTTTGCTCCTCCAATAATATCATAAGTCTTACTTCCTTTAGGCGATGCAAGTAAGGTTTGTGGTAGCAAATTATGTATGTCAACCAACGTTTTTTTTGTCTGTCGAAAAAACAGAGTTGCTGATTAACTTGCTGATATGTTGTTGCCTTGTTTTGCATTAACATATAAACTAAACAATTGTTACAATCAAATCAGCTTACGACTTAGGGCATTGTACAGCAGGAAAAATACATTTGCAAAGCCTATGAAATAAATTCAAATTTACCTATGAAACAAAATTATTCGTCAGATTGCATTTTCTTTCCCATTTTATCATTAAAATCTTAATTATGTTTTATGTACGAATTTATCCAAGTGTTTAAAATGGCAAGTTTTATTACGCTACCATATCAAACTAACTTAAATCTGAAACTTATTAATATAACGAGACTAACAGATGAACGGACACAGATAGGCAAACGTTTGTTTAAGCAAGTGGTGTATTTAACCACATATAGTATACTAGTGACTTATTATTTTGAAAACTATTTGAAAAATAACAGTTTACAAGAATCGGCAATTTTCTTGTTTTCTAAACTGTGTACATAGTAAATTAATGATCATAGTATTTTCTTTGCCGACACTCACACATAGTCAATATATTCTTATTGTTAAACACAGATTTTAATTTTTCGTCACAAATTTTATCACAGTGTAAAAAGTCATTTATTAATGGGGAGGATAGATTCTTTGTATATAGTTTTGCAATATTATAGTGGACGAAATCGTATCCTGTCAATGTATCATGATTACCTCCTCAAATCTTTCATTTGAATTCAATCCCCTTTCAGTTAGAGAGGCGAAAGGTTCCCTACTGTTGCAATTGGCAGGTGAATAAAAGCCTTTTCAACTTCATTATCAAAATTGTAAATACAGACAGGCCTTCATGTTACATGTATTTGCCAACATTGCGATAATCCGATTTGATTTTGCGAAATGGTACGAATTATACACATGTGTATAATATATTAACATGTTTTGTTTTTGGAAATTTCACCTGCATAATTTTGAAGAACATCACTTTTAATTTTGAGGTGGTTGTTCATTGATTTTCGAATGCCAAAGTCCAGGATATTTTACCTCAGAAAATACCATGAGAGTAATAATCAACAATTAATTTGTTGGCGCAAGGATAAACTTTACAATATTGGTTTGCAGAAGTTATTAGCATCGAAGCTTTTGACAAATTAATGTAACAAAGTAATATATATATATATATACCTTAGAGTATTAACTGATTTTTAATGAACTTCCTATTGTTCATTTATAATTGCATAAAAGCAATATTTTTAAGTTTTGGACAATCTTTTCTGGAAAGTATATGGTGCTGATTTCTTGATTGACATATCTAATGACATTTCTTGATTGACATATCTAATGACATTTCTTGATTGACATATCTAATGACATTGACCATAAACTGGTTTGTTTTCCTTCTCTATTGGGCTGATAACGTACTAACTATATTGATATTTCAGTATCAATTACTTCAAAATTACTTCTGAAAAATGCATTGGTGATAAATGATAATTTTACTGCTTGTAGAGTTAGAGAAAGAATCCGAAAATTGCCTTTTACCTCTAAGTTATATTTTTCAGATGCCATGGGTAGGATTAGCTGTCACGGAAACATTTTTCAGTGCATAAGTAATGTAATTGAGAACATAATTGTTCTTGAAGATAATTAAGGTAATTTAATAAACATGAAAAGGTAACGTGTTCGCCGTAAATATTCGGCACATATTTCTTATATTATTATTAACTTTGCCAGAAGGGAATGTAGATAATACGATTTTACATTTACAAACTAACAATTGAATGATATTCTTATTTTTAAAATAAATATTCCATTGATTCTAAACTAGTTAAAAACACCTTTTTATCTCTTCAATCTTAAAAGAACTGAACAGCACAGTTATGTTGAATGTATGATTATTAGTGGTTTTTAAATGCGTCAACACATTCGGCTCAGCTTAGCATGAGGTAAATGTTCCTTAGTTTCTTAAACATTTTAATAATCATTGTTTGCTCTTCATATTTTTTACTGGATAATTTATACTGAATATCGCTATCACTAACCTCCTTCGAGGCTGAAGAAAAATTTAAACCTTGATAATCGATACCTTCAGGGATATATA